CACCTGGTGCAGATGACAGGGTGGCCAGCGGAGGTAAAGGCCAGGAACAGCTTTCTCTCTCCTGGCACCTTTTGTGTGGGACCAATCTCTGAATGTATTTAGTTTCAGACCCTGGATCAAATTATACAGCTGGCTCTCCTGAAGTGTATGGCAACACATTTATTTTGGCAAGACAAGCAGGTATCCCCAGTGCTGGAGGTGGAAGTGATAGGCTGTCAAGAGGAGGTAAAGGCCAACAATAGCTTTCTGTCATGGTAACTTTTGTGTGACAGCCATCCCCGGACATATTCAAATTTTGGATCTGGAATCCAATTTTTTGCAAGTGGCTCATGAAAGTGGATGACAGTGCCTTTCCTTGGTAAAGGCAAGCACCTAGTTCCAGTGTTAGTGGTGCAAATGACAGCATGCCCAGAAGAGGTAATAGCCACAAACACAGGGGCTAAGTGCTTGCCAAAATAAATGTACTGCCATTCTTTTCTGAAGCTCAGCTCTGAAATTTGGATCTGGGCTTTTAAACTGATTACATCCAGTGTTTGCTCAAGCACAAAAGGAGGCACCACAGAAAGCTGCTGTTGGCCTTTATCTCCTCTGGGCACTCTGTCATCTGAACCACGAAACACGGAGGCTGACTGCTTTCCTTTCCAAAATACATGTGTTTCCATAATTTTCAGGAGCCCATCTCAGAAATTTGGATAATACCTCCAAAACTGAATACATCTGGAAATTCACATACTTTCACAATCACATAGATTTTGTACCTAAACTAAAAATATCCAGCAAAAGTCTTGGTCACGATAGGTGCCAGCTGAGAAAGCTCTTGCTATCTCTGCATTTGTCTCATACTCCTGGAATTACAATACATACCCTGGAGCTTTGCACTTTCCTTCTCAGTTGCATGTAGCATCACATTCTCTCTGTCTCACAGAGCTCAACTTGAAAACTGAAAACTTCTATCAACTGCTCCCACAAAAAATGTCCTATTACAAAAAAGACAGTGTTGGGCATCACCTTCCCCCTGCAGCCTTTAAACTGCACAACACTGGTGCCATGATTCTTTCTTTTCTGTTCTATGCACCCTCACATTTTTGCTCTCTCGCAAAGCCCAGCACTGTGATTTTAGCAGGGCCACAAAATGTGTTAGGAGAGAAAAGTTACTGGATTTCACATTCACAGTGACATTCACAGCAACTGCACCATACACAGTGAGGCAATCAACTTTCCTTTCCATGTCCTATCACATTCTTTCACACTCCTAGAGATCCTGTACCTAAACTGAAAATATCCAGCAAAAAAATCTCAGTCACAACAGATGTTGCCTGAGAAAGCTCTTGCTAGCTCAACCTTTAGCTCGTACCCCTTGAATTACACCACACACCCTGGAGCTATGAGCTTTCCCTTTCAGCTCCCTCAGCCATCATATTCTTTCAGTCTTGCAGAGCCCTGCTCCCAAACTTAAAACAGCCAGCAACTGCTTACATACAGATGATCTTAGAACAAAAATTCAGCACTGGCCCTCACCCTCCCTTTGCAGCCTGTAAACTGCACCAGACACAGGTCTTCGCTCTTTCCTTTTAGATGTACGTACCCTCCAATTCTTCCACTCTCGCAAAATCTATATCCAAAACTTAAAAAAATTCAGTGGCTGCTCCCACAGAAAAGGTCATAGAAGAAAGAGCCAGTGCTGGACTACACCTTTTTTTTTTTTTGCAGCCTATAAACTGCACCACTGTCAACACTGAGACTATTCACTTTCCTTTCTTTTACTCTCACAGAGTCAGGATCCAAAACCGAAGCCCTCCACAAAATGCTCTCCCACTGAAGGTGCCCAGACAAACAGATGTTGGTTTTTACCTTCCCACTGCCACCATTCAGAACTCTACCATAGGGTGCTGTGTACTTGCTAAGCAATTAAATGGACCTCGACACTATCCAAGAAACGCAATGTGCAGATCCGAAGTTGAAAATTTCTAGACACTACTGGCAAACAAAATGTGCCAGAACAAAAAGAAATACATTTATTTTGGAAGGCAAGCGGCTATCCCCATTGTCTGTGGTGCAGATAATAGGCCACTGAGGAGAGGTAAAGGCCAGCAACAGCTTTCTTTCATAGCACTTTTTGTGAGGGAGCAATCCACTTTCAGGAGCCCATCACCAAAATTTGGATATTGCCTCCAGTATTGAATATGTCCACCAGGGATTGCTCTAACACAAAAGTTCTCAGGAAAGAAAGCTATTGCTGGTTTTTACCTCCCGGGAGCAGCACCACCACCACCAATGGGGCTAGATGCTTTCCTTAACAAGTAAAGGCACTGTCATTGTCTTTCGGGATCCCACCTCCAGTATTTGGATAACAGTTCCAAAACTGGATAGGCCCAGAGATCTCTGTCAGACAAAACTTTCCAGGACAGAAAGCTCTTACTGCCCTATACATCCCTAGGAAACCCTGTCATCTGCACTACCAACACCGGGTTTGGCTCTTTTCTTCCTCAGGAAAGATAATGTTATCCTTTTTGTTTTTTTCAGGGGGCTGATTCCAAATTTCAGTGGTGGGCTCCTGAAGGAAAATGACAGGGCATTAACATGGGAATGAAAAGCACCTCATTCCAGTGTTCCAGGTGCAGATGACAGGCTGACCATGAGAGGTAAATGCCAGCTGGAGCTTTCTCTCCTGGTACCTTAAGCATTCAAGCAATCCCTGAACCTACCGAGTTTCTGTTCTTGGCTCCTCTATGGAGAAGAACATGAAACAAAACAGGAGAAGCCACGTGTCAGGGACTGAATGGATGCTTCATACAGAGTCCGTCAGAGAAACCCACCCAATGAGTCACAAGGGTTAGAAAGGCTTTACAGGTGTAATTGTGCCTTTATAAATCTCGATTGCTTTATTTAAATTGATGATGACGATGATTAGATAAAAATGTAAAAAGATAAAAATGCAAAGTGGCAAAAAGGCAAAAGACTTTTATCAGAATCATTTGCTACACAAACTACTAATATAGTGCACTATTTATTCAATCAGTAATGTCATAGATAGCTTAATAAGTATCAAACTTATTGATGTTACTCAGCCATACCACTGACTGTGGACAAATTTTCACTCAGCCTTGAGAAGTATCCCTGAGGAGTGTCCCCACCTGAGGGAAGGATCTTCATGTACCTAAGGAATGTATGACGGAAATCCCCGCTGGTAAAAAAGTGGGACTGGTCTTTTATAGTATGAAGAGATTGACTGTGAGTCCTACAACCTTTAGATTCTGTGTTGTCCTGCCTGCTCAGCATTTGAATTAGATGTTACCAGCTCTTCGGTTTCTTCTGCTCAAAGGTTCTGTCTCTCACTTTCCTACCACGTCCCTGGTGATGCCCACCTCAGTCGGGAAGAACACTCGAGAGATGGGTCTAATTTAAGAGAGTTGGGTCAAGCTACTCTCAGCATTCTTCGACACTAAAAATAGTGTTACTTTTCTTAATCCATCACCAATAATTTGAAAATAACACAAAGAATGGATTCCTCAGAGCTTACTCATCCCTCCTGAACTGAACAGCACCGGTGCCCTTGCCTCTCATAACACAGTTGCTCATTCCTGAGGCACACTACTGCCAGTCCTGTGCTCCCAGGACCAGGAGAGCTACATAGCTTCATCTCTGCCCATTACAGACACAGCTAGACCCCCTCTGGAGCTGTCTCTATGCAACTCTGCATCCTGCATTCCCCACTGCCTTCTGCTCTCCCTGTTTGCTGACTGGTTTGTAGGTCTGCTTCATATGTCAGTTTTTATACAGATGCCATCTTATGGCACATGGAATCTCACTAGAGAGGTGGAAAATCAGGTAGATGCAGCAAAAACACTCCCTCATCTTTGAAGAAGTCATGAAGGTCAGAATGGACTCTGCCTTTAAATGAGAAAAGGTCTCCAGAAGCAAAGAAACATGAAATTATCCACTTAAATGTTCCTGCTTCAATGGACTACTTGGGAGGGAGGGGGAAAAAAAAAAAGAAAAAAGAGGAGAGCTCAAGGTCTGGATAAGAGGTATCCATCACACCCCGTCACTGTCCCACCAACACTGTGGCTCTGTGCTTGCTCTAACACCTAACCCTCACCCCTCACCCTCATCAGAGCCCAGGTCCAAACCCCCACCATTAGGGCTCCCATACAGAAGAGGCAAGGAATGAAAGCTCTTGGAGGCCCCCACCTTCCCCTTCACAGCCACACCAACACTGGGGCTCTGTCCTTGGTCTACCACCCAGTCCTCCCCCAGCCCCTCAGGCCTCTTGGAGCATACCTGGAGCGTGTCTGGCATGTCCTGCAAAGGCTGCCCAGAGACTTTGCTCATTGCCCTTGCAAGGCCTGGCAACAATGACTGAACCCCCCAGTTACAGCTGGAAGGAGGTGTGCTGGAGGCTCTGGGCCAGAGCTGACAATGGTGGTTATCGCAGCTGCACGTGCCAGGAGTGTGGGGTTGGAAACAAGGCAGTCCTACCTCCTGTTCTGGACTCTGCACCAAAGGCTTTTGCATGGAAGGAGCCGTGAAAGGGCAAGTGCCATATACTGGGCCTGGCTGAAATGGGCACCTCTTCCAGGGGTCACTGGTCCGCAGCGACATGCACTGCTACACTGCTCCCTTTCTTTTCCTGATGTTTCATGGTTTTGGCCTTAGTTTCTGGAGTAAACGTTCCATATTAAGGAGAAGAGGAATGACTTGCTCCCATGGACCACAGACTAAAAAGAAGAAAAAAAAAAAAGCCTTGTGAAGTCTCATTACTTTAGGCCATTTGTGTTACCTTGGCATATCCAATCTTCTCCTGAGGCAGTGGAAGTGGCTCACCCTGCAGTTTGGTTGTCCTTGTCTTGCGATGCATCTCCACCTGTGAGACACTTCTTGGCCCCAGTGTTTCCTGTAGCTGCCATGTCCTTGTGGCTGCTGCTGTGGTCAGCTTGTATGCACGAGGGACAAGGTGACTTACTGTGCACACAAAAGGGGACAAGAGGCTGTCCAGGCGCATGGGTACAAATCTTTCCCATTGCCCTCAGATGTCAGCCAGTGCCACTCACCACCGCCCAGGGACTTGCCTTGCATGTTCAACTTGTGCAGAGAGGACTCTGCTCCAAATGCCTCAGGGCTGCCCCCATCTCCTGAAAACCTGCCATGTGACTCCTGTCAGCCAAGGTCACAGGGTTTGGCCACACCTGTGCCACTCACAGCCGTCTTCATCTGTCAGCAGGAAGAAAAGAGGAGAGAGCAGGAAGACGGGTAGAAAAGGAGGAAGAGAGAGGGATAGAGAGAGAGGCAAGGAGGCTGCATTTAGCATTTGGACAGAGTGGCTGACAGTCACCGTGGGAGAGGCTTGCAATGTCCTCAGCAACTTCCACCAGCTCTTTGCCCAGTGGCCTGGCTGTCCTGACGACTTTCCCAGATGTGCTCTTCATTCCTGAAATCGTGAGTGCTGACTTTTCTCTGGGGGAGGGCAGTTGCTGCTCGTGGGGCACCCAGCACATGTCGTGCTGCAGGTGTCTGAGGGATTAGACTTGACCCACAGCACGTTGGGCTCGGGACCAGCACCAGCCCCTGACGTCTAGTTAACCCCCCACAGAAAGCTACAAGGCCTGAGGCAGGGTTCTGAAGCTCTCCTTTAGACTGCAAGGGGGTTTTTCTGATGCATCTGAAAGCCTTTTGTAATTTCCCCCCTAAAAAAAGTTGAGGAGGTTGCTGGTTTGTTTAAACTAGGTTGACAAATTGAGCCAGTTATTTAATTAGAAGATGATTTTAGCAGATAATACAGACAAAGGATAAACCGCTTGCTTAAAGCAGGGAATTAAGGCTAGTTGAGGCAATTGTTTGCAGCAGCAAAGAGCCTGGTCTACCGAAGGTGTCCTGCTCAGCTGCAACATTCCTGAGATGGAGGTGCAGAGTGCTGGGCCTGGGTGTGTGGGTGGGCCAAGGGTGAGCAAACACCTTGTAACTTCTTTCCATATTGTAAATTCATTGAGCAGGAGATTATAATCTTAATGGATTTGGCGCAAGTGATTAAAAGCAGTTGCTGTGACCAGTGACTAAAAGAAATCTTCAAGGATAACCTTTTTCCTGTGTCCTCTGCCCCAGTCATGAAACCTGCTCTTCTCACGAGAGTTTGAGAGGCTTTTTCCAAAGCCTGAGCACTCTCATCCAGCACTGAAGGCTTTGGCTTCAGATGATTTAATGCTAAAAACTTCAGCTTTCCTATCTGGGACCAAATTCTTTCCTGTCACACAACTGGGTCCACACTCCTGGGATTTACAGCATTTACTTCATTCTCCCAGTTATAGCAATCCAGCAAAGAGGATGTAGAGAAAGGCTTTGCTTCAGCTCCTCCAGTTATGCTCTGGAGACTTGGTCTCTGTGCCTGGGCTCTGAGATCAAGGTCCAGGTTTCCGGTAGGGAAGGTTGAGGGAGGGTTTTAAGTCCCTGTGGATGTTTTGGCTGGGTGGACACTTGCCAGACAGCCCTGCCACTGAGCTGCGTTAGTCCTGGTGCTGGGCTTGCTGTTGGTCTCAGCGTGCTTATTCCCCTTGAACTGTTTGTTTGTAATCCCTGACTCCAGGGGATCTGGCAAGGCAGCTTGCTTAAATAAGCACCCTATCCTTTGGTTTGGGTAAGATCTGGAAATGTGCATCCTGAAGGCTCAGGAACCACCCAGGAAGGAGGAATGCTGCATAACTGGATTTCTCCATCTCCAAGATGTGTATAACTCTATGCTATGCAGCTGTATGAGCTCTACTGTGTACAAAGGAGGTGGTTGCCTTGAATCACAAAAGGATAAAGAGTTTCTCATTCCTTAGTGGAACCTGAGGTTGCCTACAATGAGTTAATATGGTAATTATGAAACAAAACAAAAGAAAAATAAAAAAATTGACATTTCAAATGCTAAGACAGTTGTGAAATTTCCAGAAGATCCTGCCTGCAGCTCAGATGATTGCCACATCTGCATGTGCTGATTAAGAACTACCATTTTTATTCTGTGAGGCTCAGTTTACTTCTTGTAATCTACTTTATTTGAAGAATTTTTGGCATAAATGGATAGCCAGACCTATGCGGAAAAGCTGAAACAAGCTGAAAACAGATATGTTTTCTTGGTAAAAGGCTTTTCGAAAGACAAATTTTTTCTTAGACTGCTGTCCCCAACCTGCTGTGGGTTATTACTGAAAGCCTCTCAATGCTTCCCTCATTTTTATGAGTCTGCCGAACAGCAGCACCATAAAACCAACGTCAATAATCAAACCATGTCAAACATACTTGCCTGAGTGAGTAAGCACATCCTGCACAAAGGAGAAATGGTGAGTGGTAGGAAGTGATCAGTGATACTTCTTCCCCGAACTTCCTATCTCACCCAATTTGTGTTTGATTTTAATGGAGCAAATATAAGGTTTTCCCCAGGATCTTTAGCTACAGTAGACTCATTATGTCACCACATGAGTTATTAAAGGGACTGTATTAGTGTTCAAGTGTCAGTCTTTGGTTGTTACAAGAAGCACCAAACCATCAGCACTTTGGAAGACCTATTTTCACTCAGCTGTTTGCAACGTCTCAGTCATATAATGGATTTAATGTATCAATTTGCATAATGGAACCTTCCTACAAATGTGGAGTGACACAAATGATGTGACATTTTCTGGGCATAATAAATCAGAAACTTTCTTTCCACTTGCAAAATGTCTCCAAGGAAATAGAAATGCCACAGTTAGTATGAGTTGGCATTTGGATGCTGACAAAGGCTGGCCTGGGACACACTGGCAGTCAGAATGGAGTCAGCAAGGCTCTCCTACCTCTGAAGATTTGCCTGCAAATCCAAGACAGCTGGTGATGAGGGAGAGGTCCCCACAGCAGCACACTGTGGGTTCAGCTGAGGAGCTCCTCATCACAGACTCAACTTTGCAGAGGTTCAAGGAACAACTCGCCTGATCTGTAGCACAGAAAAGCTACTGAGAGCATTTTAGTGCAAAGGCACCACTTGCAGTCCAGACATTCCACAACATTGAACATCATGCTCTCATCCTCTTGTGTAGGAGTCTGCTGGTGGAGAAAGGATGGAGCCTAGACCCTGCTGTCTTTGTGTTCCCCACCTCACCAGAAAACCCATGGCAAACTCCCAAGGCTGGCTTAGAAGGCTGGGGCCCCACCTGCTCCCACACCAGCAGTTGGTACCTCTGGTGTAGCCAACGAAGGATGACCCAAACAGCTGGAGCAGCAATACAAGCTCTCCTTTCCAGAAGGAGCTGTGAGCCTCAAGCTTATTTCCCCTATCTCAGAGCTTAAAACTGGCCATATTACCTCTCAAACATGTTGTCTCTTCTCTGTGGCCTTTGTGAGGACCACATGTCTGTGCTGTTTGTGCAGATGAACTGGGCTTGACACTGCTCCTGTCAGGGATCTGACACACTGGGTGTGAAGCAAACATGCCTTTCTGAAATCAGCCTCCCTGTTCATCAAAACCAGCCTTCAGAAGTGTCTGAACCAGCCCTCTGAGCACACTGATGTAGGGAGGATGTGAATGGCAGTGACACCAGGAGGCAGGGCTACAGAGAGGATTTTTTTTGGGTCAAGATCAGTGGCAGGTGCTCCCAGATAAATATCCAGTTTCAAGTGGAGGCTAGGAAGAACTATTGCCATGTGCAGTGCTAGTGCCAGAGGCATGCATGGCACTCTCTGCTCTGGATCAGTCACTTTATCCCATGCTCATCCTATCTCCCACTTTCACTTGCAGATCTTTGGAGGCCTTGTCTGGATCCTGGTGGCATCCTCAAAGGTCCCAATACCCATGCTGCAAGGCTGGGTGATGTTTGTCTCCGTGTTCTGCTTCGTCATGTCCACTACCCTCATGTGCCTCTACTTCTGTGGGGCCCATGGGGGCAGCAGCTTCTGGGTCACCTTGGTAAGTGGATGTAACAAACCTCTGGGCCTCTCCCTCCCTGGAAGACAATTGTCTCCTGCAAAGGAGAGTGCTGCTACTGCACTCCAAATCACAGGCTGGGGCTTGCTTGCACGGGTTCCCTTTTTCCCCCCTTTGCAATGTGATCCCTCCTTGGAAATGACGGCGTGACCCTTGTTTTTTAGGATGCCATTTGCCAGGGGACAGCATCTCTGTTCTACCTCAGTGCCGCTGTGTTGGAAGCCTCCGCGACTTATGTTGCCGCCGGCTCGTTCACAGCAGAGATCTATAGGGAGAACATTGCTGCTGTGGTGAGTGCCTGGCAAGCAGGGGAAAGGAAGGTCAGGAGGTAACTGTGCAGTGGCCTCAAGTGCAAATCCTAAACGAGTCACAGTCCTACTATGCACTAATGTGTCCAAACATGCAAGAGTCACCATGAGGTGTTTGCTCAGTGCTGAAACTCCTGCCATGCAACAGGAAGTCAACTGGCTGATGTGTTTTTCTGTCACAGGTATTTGCATTCGTAACTACCCTGGTTTACGTGATCCACAAGGTGTTCTCGCTCCTGCGATGGAAATCATCCTGAGAGCCTCCCCTCGGAAGTGTGTCCTGTGGTCATCTCAAGAACAGTGATTGCAGTTTCCAGGCTGGCTTTGGGTTTTGGGTTTTTTAATGTAAATACTATAAACAAGTGGGTTTTTATGTGGGATCTTGGCAAAGAAGACAAGGAGCCTGCCAGAGAAAGGTATATCCTGGCACAGTCTGTTTCCCTTCAGTCTCTTCTGGGCTGGGTACAGTCTGATGCTGATAAGTGGGGCCCAAAATAAAAAAAAACAACATAGTATAGTTGGATTCAAAGTACTAAAATCTCCCCGAACTGTTCCTTTATGCCTCCAGGGTTTTTATTGCAGTCAGGGGAAACTGGACAACCAGCACTAAGGATCATGAGTATGAAACTGTGTCATTTTCATTGCTGCCTGTCCATTTAAGTCTGTGTCTTTCCCTAAACCTGCTGTACCAAATTAATATTTTCATGCAGTTCCTGAAAATGCCTTCATTGACTTGTGATGAGAAATGGGGACAATATTTAACTTGCCTTGGGAGCAATATGAATTGTTGCAGCCCCTGAAGGGTACTGCTGAATTTTGAGGAATTGGGTAATACTGAATAATTGAAATAATGCCAGGAATTACCACTGTATTTGATCCCCCTACAAAATACAACTTTGGAAGGTGTGCAGTAGACTGTAGGAGAATTGTATGGATGATTAGAATGACATCTCGAATAAGCAATCAATTCTTGTCTTTGGTGAATGGCTACTCTTTCTTACAGTAGCACTATGTCGCTAATAAAGATGGGTTTGCTGTGATTTTGAAAATAGATGAGTCATTTCTGCTGTTTTTCCCTTTGCTGCACACAGAGACACAGCCCTGTACAGCCTCAGGAGCACTGCCCTGTAACAGGGCAATGCCTAACAAGGAGGCAGAAACTTGGACACAAATCAGAGGGTTTTTCTGTCAAGGGGAGCCTGAGGGGCCCAGGTTAACTCAGGTTAATCTCAGTGAGTGTTGAGTGTGCTGGTTTTGGCTGGGATGTTTTTCTTCACAGGGGCTAGTACAGGGTTGTTTTGCATTTGTGCTGGAAACAGCGTTCAGGGATGTTTTTGTTATTGCTGAGCAGTGTCACAGTGTTTAGGCCTTTTATGCTTCTCACCCCACCCCACCAGCGAGGAGGCTGGGGGTGCACAAGGAGCTGGGAGCGGACACAGCTGGGACAGCTGACCCGGACTGAGCAAAGGGATATTCCATGCCATATGGCATCATGCCCCATATATAAAGCTGGGGGAAGATGGAGGAAGATGGGACATTTGGAGTTGTGGCATTTGTCTTCTCAAATAACGTGTGATGGAGCCCTGCTTCCCTCGAGATGGCCTGCCCATGGGAAGGGAATGAATTCCTTGTCTGGCTTTGCTTGTGTGCAGGGCTTTTGCTTTACTTACTAAACCATCAGTATCTTAATCCATGAGTTTTCTAATTTTTACCCTGACAATTCTCTCCCCAATCCCATTCCATCCCACTGTGGGGAATGAGTGAGTGGCTCTCTGGAGCTTAGTTGCTGGCGTTAAACTGTGACAATGAATTAATTTAAATGGAGTTTAGACTTAGGAAGGGATCTTTTCACATGTTAGAGGTGCCTCATAAGCAATGTACCAAATTATCCTTTCCATTTTGAGTCCGAAGTTCCTGGATAATAACAAGGACGGGAGAACAAAAGGGAAATAAAAGTTGACTTGGAGGCACCTCTGTTGCTTCAGATCTGGGGGAACTTTTGACCTGTGACCACAGGTTTGGGTTGAAGTTTTTAATTGCAACGTAAGGAAAACATTTAATTGTTGGGGTTTTTTATTGCTGCAAACCAGCCTGACTTGTTTTGCCTCTGTTACTGTGACAACAGCAAACTCATTGCAACAGAGGTGGAAAAAGAAATCCCTTTTCAGAGCAGGGAGGGAACTTGCAGCCACTTTGGACAATGGCACATGGTTCTGAAGTTAAACATCTACCCTTTGAAACTGGTTTCAACATCACATCATCATGGGGTGTGTGATGGGGTGTTGGTGGCCAGGTTTGCCCTCGTTCTGTTAATGCCCCGAATTTAACATTGAAACACAAGGATGTTTTCTGCTTGGGTCTGTTTACAAAGGCAGACATTTGCAGTCATACTCTGCACTCTGGGATCATGTATCTCTGTCTTCCTCGCTTGCTCTGCCAGCACCTCTGCAACAAGCAGTGTTGCCTGTCCCTTCATATCCGTGTCCCTTGTGGCCATCACATTTACAGCCTATGTCTTGGCAGGGCTCCCATTTCTCCTCCCCATTCTTTCTGCCTTTGCTTCTCCCTTCCCTGCCACACACCAGTTCACCACAGTCTGCACTAGCTCACCTGCTCCACCGTTTCTTTCTGTCCCCACCCAGTTTGCTGAGATACCTCCCCCACAGTATTATCCTAACCTTGCTGAAAACCAGCACTGGAGAAAAAAACAGTCGTGTGCTGCTGGCATGGGCGTGTTATCAGCTCAGTGCTGCTCCGGAGAGGGCTGTGACAAGGTCGTGGACATGGCATTGGGAAGGATGCTCTTTGACCACAGTGTGACCTGGGCCATATTTTTTCCTGGAGAGGGCTGGGCAGGTAGAAGGGCCAATATCACGAAGGGTCAAGAATGAACAACAAAGTGATGTTGAAACTTTGAAACCCTCCCGGTGTGACTCTTAACTTCAATCCCATGCAGCTAAGTAGCTTGCAGGGTGAATGAGTGTCCCTGTTTGGCGCAGGGCTGCTGTGCCCCCAGTGCAGGACAGTGACACAGTGAGGTGTGGTTTTGTTGCATCAGGCTGCTCAGTTGAACCTCATTTGCAGCAATATGCACGTTCCCTGCATGGAAGGAAGAAAAAAGAAAAATGAAAAAAAAGAAGTCTCTGCTGCCCATCATGCCCAGCTTTCCTATCATCTCAATACAGCCATGAAGACTGCCATGCCCTGAACCTGGGCAACCCAAGGTAGCTGTCTGGAAAATGGCACACTTCAGTGATTCTGGAAGGGAAAAATGCTGCCCAGAGCTCAGAGAATCTCCCAGGACCTACAGACCACCTACAACATGTGCACCACATCCCTTCACCACATCCCTTCACCCTGAGGACAGCATTGGTCTGAGAATTTGCTGTCACTCCACTGGCAACATTGGGCGTGATGAACACTGCAGGCTAACAAGCCTTTACCCTTGGAGATACTTCCATGGAGTCAATTCCAAATTGGCCTGGCTCCCCAGGATGTGAGATGGCTGGCTCTGTGGAATGCTGTTTGCACACCTGGCCCTTGCAGTTTGCTGACCACAGGCACGTGCAGTCCTTGCCTACAGAGCTGCTCCCAGCCTGGCCCAATATATGGGGCTGCTCTATCCCACCCTCTGCATTTGCTTAGGCATTTCCAGATCTCTCCAGACTGGTATCTCATCTTTAACATTCTCATCCTCCCCATGCCTGGGATTCCATTGCAGATGTCGATAGATGGAGCAGCCCATTTAAAAAACCACAAATCTGCCTTTTTTTTTCCCCCAGAGCATTTACAAGTCCCATTCCCACTGTTAAAACAGTGGGTCTATTGTGTCCCCACAGCAACCACCAGGTTTCAACTGGTAGTGTAACTGGAGTTTCCCTCTGCTCTTCTTCAGCTTCCTCAGCATGCCAAGGAGGTCTGCAGGCATCCAGAGAATATGCTAGTTAAAACAATCTACCTACCTGAAGGCAGGCAAAACCTTAGTTCCTGTTAAAAACAAATTACAGACCTATTCATTAACTGTGCCCAGATTGTAATCTGGTTGCTCTTGCTTAATTAAGTGGCTTGACCGCGATGTTAACTGCTCCCCAAATATTTGTATATTGGATACCTGCCCTCCAGCAATGCAATGAGTTAGTAGAACTTCCATCTTCTCCTGAACTGCAGAAGAATAATTTGATTTTTCTGAGAGCAAAGAAACTTAATAGAAACTTATGGCCAGCTCCATGGAAAATGCAGGAGTTTCTTATTTTACAGTCAGCCTTATTTGTGAGCAATGAGCAGCCTGTATGCTGGGTAAAACATCTATACGAGCATCTATATTAATGTGGACAAACTTGTGAAAACAGTAAACCCACAAAAGATTACTTCTTTGTAGGGAACTAAGCTCTAACTGGGTCTGTGGCAGTGTGATTCACTGCCAGCTCAGCCTGCCTCTCCCTCTCCTGACTCAGTTATAGTTCCTTCCACACCTGTGGTCTCTATACTGAGACCATGGCCCTCCTGCTCCCCGGTCTCCCTTATGCCAACAGGATCAAGCAATGAAACCCCATTTGCTGTGAGGGGTGGAAATGCCTTATTTCCGATTCAGGGAAGTGCTCAAACATGAATTACTGTCCTGTGTGTCTGAGAAGAACCCTAAATGTCCTCCAGAGAGCAGAGACAAGGCGGAGGATTCCTGAAGACCCTCGTGGGATCAGATGCAAGTGTAGCTAGTGTGCAGACTTTGAGGAAAGAGGGAGACTTGTGGTTACTACATAACCATAAGTTCAGTAAAGGTAAATGGCATTCATCCTACTGCTTCCTTATCTTACAGCACATATCTACTAGCCCACAAAGTGGACCTGAAAGTCTTGTGTGGATTCTTTTGGAGACACCAGCTGTAAATCAGTCAGACATTTCCAAGTGCTTTGGCTGACGGAGAAAATAGCCACTGGGAACAATGTTTCTCCTGCATTAGCAGTGAGAACAGAAATTACTGAGTGACCAAGAGGCGTTCAAGGGAGATGTCTGTTTGCCAGCCTCTACACACAAAAGACACACGGGGACCCTTGTGCCAAGTGACAGCCCGTGTGCCTCACGAGCTGGGAAAATGTGGTGTGAGATCTCAGTTTGGGTTGCACAACGAACAGTGCTCAGGCCCAGGTTGGCTGGGGAGAGCTCGACTTTACACCTTGCTCTGCGCTGGGTGCTGTTATCTAAGGACCTGTCCCTACAGCTTGTCTTTCTTGTGTGATCCCAAGATCACATGAGAGCCTGCTGAATGCTGCCACCTCATCCCATTATGCATAGCTGGAGACACTGACATCAACCTACATCCCTAATTTTTGTGCAGCAGTGGCCTTGCAGGATCTCCTGTAGCACCTTCATCATCCTTAGGCCAGAATACTGGGGGCTTTTCCATACGCACTGGGTGAGGAAATGTAAGAACAGCGTGCAAGGAAGCAGAAGGACATCTCCAAACATGGATGCAATCACCTGCTACTGAGACACACCTGATTTCCAATTCTGAGAAGAGAGAAAATGCTGGCATGATCCATCTGCTCACTGCAGGAAGCAAACGACAAAGAGCTGATCCAGTCAGTCACTTTAGGCTCACTACTCAAACTGAGGTTGTTTTGGGTCAGCAGCTGAGCCAACTCCCTTCAGCTCTCTGTTTCTGCAAGGACACAGGCAAACTGAAGGTCATCTAAATACAGCAAAGGTTCGATTCCTTTAGTCCAGTTTTTTAATCTTTGATTTTGCTCAGCTGTAAGGTGCAAGCTAAATGTGAGCATGCATTCTTTAACAGTAGTTTGATAATCTGCTTACAAGAAAGTTTTCAAACTGAACACTGGGCAATTCTACTGGAATTGTATTTAGATTGAGCTGGCAAACAGGAATAAAGCCTTCAGCCAACTGCTCAGCAGACATATCCTTAGAATTAGAATTTTCCTTAGGAGAGTGAAATAAAACTCATTTAAATTCACCCTGCCTGTTTGTATATACACAATTGCTGTCTTTAGAAACCTGCACTGAAACGAACATAAAATATTGTCTTTAACATCAG